TTCCCAGCTCACCCAAGGAATCACGTGCATGAAAGATGGAAAACAAGTTACCTAGAAAAAACTCCTGATCAAACAAGGTAAATTAGATGGAAAATGGAAAAAGTGTTCCATTTTCATCGAAAATGGAGTAATCAAACATGGCCTTGAGGTATATTTTTGGCGAATTCCATGAAAATCTAATTCCTATGGTTTTGGGGGTTTATCTTTTTCAACTTACATGAAATTTGTTTGACTTTTCCATCTTTACAATCAAACGGATCCTTAAATCTTTGCTGTTGATGAAACTTGACAGATCTTGCCTTCTTTTATCGATTCCGAATTTGATAGTTCTGACCTAAAATTGGATCAGTCTCAAAATTTTTTGATTTAGCAAGCTAATCTTGTCTAAATTTGACGAGCATTGGATAATTGTATATTTGGGCATTATGTATTTATTAATATTAATACTATTATAAGTCAACTAAATTGTATTGAACTAAATTTGCGTTATCGGTTGTTGGTGAAGGAATAAATGCATTCTTGCATAACTTATTTTGAAAATCTAAAGATAAGATAATTGTAGTTTTGTCGTTTAATTAACATGAAACAGGACAATTTATTTTAGCCCTCGTTTGACCCCCATTAATTTCTATTACATTACATTATATTTTTATCTTTTCTATTTTCATTCACACAATCTTCCATAAAATAATATTACACGTAAATCGAAGCAGGGGCTTAATTTATCGTGAGCTCTTTTCTCGATGTATACCTTTTGTTTCATGCAATGATGTATTTGTAGCTTGTTTTGTTTTATGTTGACATGCACATTTTTCTCTCTTTTATTTTTAATCACACATTTTTTCATAAAATAATATTATTCGTAAATTGAAAATTTTCTTTTTTTTTTTATACCACTCATTTTTCAAAAAAAAAATAAAAATTACTATTCCACTCATTCTCATTTCCAAAACATGAGGGCCAAATGAGGGCTTAATTTAATTTGTACGAATGTACCTTGAGCTAGAAAAAGTGGAAAATGAAGCTGTGGTGGGGACAAAAAAATGGTAATATGCATGTATGGTGATCCTAGAATAATTATAGGTAAATTTAAAATTTTTTCATTTTTTTTCAGTCACACATTCTTTAAAAAATTACTATTCATTTCATTATATTCGAAAAAATGGAACCGAAACAAGGGCCACATTTATGTCATCTTATTCTTGAAATGTGGAGATGGAATATTTGCGTTTGAGTTATGTAAATCCTCTTCAATCGTTTTATGACATAGCACATAAAAATTACTAGCTCGATTATTAAAGTGAATTTTAAATATTGTAATTTTAAGTTTTTAGTTTCTTCAGCTCAATTCCATTTCTTTGATTGCTTTATTAAAAAAACATAAGAAGTTTCTTTTTTCATACCTTCCGTTTTAGTGAACTCTTATTTTAAATAAAATCGAATTGACCATTGAAGTCAATTTGGCACAATCTCTACATGGCTGGACTAACCAACGGAGCTCTTCCAACATAGTATGTTTACAAAATTGAGGGGAGACAAGTATCACTGACGCAGTTAGAACTTCTAGTTTGGGGGGCTGCAGCATTTTACAATGGTCGACGACACAATGGTAGCTGTGAGAGGGACAGAGACAAGAACAAATAATAAAGTTATCGATTTTATTCAGAATCTTTGTTAAAAAATACAAAAGTAATCGATATTTGAATAATTGTATATAAAAATACAAACAAATTTAATGGTAAAGTTGACAGAATTATATAAAACCGAATGAAATATTCAATCAAAAAGAAACAAAAGATTGAGGTCTGCAAAATCCAATTTCAATTGTTGGAAACAGATTGTGTGGAGCCATTAAAGGTTGAGGACTAGTTATACAAAATTACCAAAGAAAGAGATTTACAAGTAAAATGACATTTTCATTTATCCTATGTTCATTGTGAGAATATGTGGATAAAATATTTCATTCATTATTTTATTTTAATTATAAAAACATAAAAAAATTCCCGAACAAGAATACTTATGGACCACCATGATAAGGATACCATTCGTCGAATGTATGAATTAATAAGTCCAGCTTTTTTCCCTTTTTAGGCATTCTTCTGATGCAAGAGTATTTTTTTCAAACCAACTCCACTACTAATTTTAGGATGTGGGAATGGTATCAAAATTCACTGTCCCTCAAAATAAAGTAGTGAAGACAATATAATGCTTGTCCGGTTCGGATTAGCTCCCGTTTCGCCCCCATTCTCCTTCTCATTCTTTTTCTCTCTCTTACTTTCAACAACTCAATCTTTCATAAAATAATATTACACACAAGTCAAAAATTTGGAAAGAATGGGGGCCAAACAGGAAAATTTGATTTTAATCTAAGTCAAAATCAAATAATTAATATTAACCACATCTTTCACAGGTCCTACGATTTTTTAATCACACATTTCAAAAACTTATATCATAATTTACTAAAATATTTAATTTTAATCTCAACACCCTCATAGCCTAAGGGATTATTGCTCAAGAGGCTAGGTCGTGCATGGATTGAGATGATGTGGCACTTAGCTTGAATGAGGATGCTCAACATGTACAAAATAAATCTCTGTATTAGTTAAACCCGAATTTTCTCGAATTTATAAAGGGATTAAAACACTTCACCTAATAGGTTAACTTTTAATGATTAAACACCAAGACTAGGATTTTTAGGCATGCAACTTCTTTTAGGAAGGTGGAATGTCACTTTCTAGATTTCTAAGCGAATAATGCTTTTCTTGTAAAATAACTTATATTTTAGGAAGGTGGGATGTCACTTTCTAGATTTCTAAGCGAATAATGCTTTTCTTGTAAAATAACTTAGCGATGTTAGATTTTTTATACTGTAGAGTTATTCCATTCAGTCTCACATTGTTATTAACTTCGCACATGATCTTTGATCTCGTGCAAAAACTTTCTTTGGCTTAAATTTAATCCTTCTAACTTGACAAAAGAAGGCAATTAATCTTCTAAAGACATGAACTTCTTCAGTTGTTGCATCAAAATTTTTCCATTCATTTGAATTCAAATCTCCCTCTTTATCGTCAACTAGAAGTTTGAGATTGATTGAGTTATGCCTAGTCTTTTAAGTCGATTAAAATTTATTTGACAACTACACATGCTTTTGTATATCAAGCTCGGCATATAATTGTTTTATTATTATTATTATTATTATTTTTTTAACTTCGAGTTGTTAAACTAATGACTTGAATAGTGCTATGAACATTGAACATTTGTCAAACCTCTTCCAAAATTCTAAGAAATCTTTTTGCGTACTCGGCAAAAAACCAGGCCTCCTATGCTCGTTTCGTGTGACGTACCCCTCCTCAAGGCCACGGTATAACACTTCTAAACCTCGTATTCATCTTCTCTCGTAATTGCAACTCATCTAGCATATGAAATTTCTAGAAAAGATGACGACTATGACCACCAATCTATCTTAGTGCTTGTTTGGTTTAAATTATAGTTTTATTAATTTGAAGGTAAAAGTCAAACTTTAATTTTATCCACATATTTCGTAAAATCCACAATTAACTCACTTATTCATCACTAATTTCTGTTGCTTTATAATTTCAATTATTGCAATTAATATTGTGTGGTGGAGACATTATGTTCCGTTGCTAAGTTGCAAGCTCTTCCATTTTCTTTCCAGGATCACTAACATTTATTCACGAACATAACTGTGTCGTGAAAAGGTTGGGAAAATTCCACTCTCCATTCTCAACTTATTGTTGAAAGTTTTATTAAGAAAAAAGTTACACTTCAAACTATTTGCTTTAATTGCAAAATTAATCATCAATAATGGAAGCGTCTAATTTTCCAATAAATTTTATCTCGTGGGAACTCTGAATAAATGTCCATATTAGAATAATGCTATGTAGCACCAACGATATTTAATTGTTTAAGTTATCCCAAAAATTAACTAAGCCCCCATTTTGGTAGCAAATTTCACCTAAAAAATTAAATTTTTTTACTATTATTTAAATAGTCGCTATTTTTTATTTCTTCGCTCATATATAGTATTTACTTTTCTTTTTAATGGTTAAAAAAAATCAATTTTCATAATCACCGTCGAACCGGCTTTAAGCCCCCGTCTGGCTCTCATTTTGTAGAAATGAAAATGGGTGGAATAACATTTTTTTTGAAAAATGAGTGAATGAAAAAAAAAGAAAATTTTTCGATTTATGTGTAATATTATTTTATGAAAAATTGTGTGATTGAAAATAAGAGAAATAAAAAAATAGAATGTAATGTAATGAAAATTAATGAGGGCCAAACGAGACTAAGGTAGTGTTTGGGAGTGATTTTTCACATAAAAAAATTGATTTTTTGACCGTTGTTTTACTATTCCAAAGATAAAATTTGATTTCTTCTCTCACAAGTGACCCCCATTTTTTTTTCTAGCGATCAAAAAATCAATTCTTCTGGGAGGAGTGCCTAGGTGAGAACTCCCTGAAGATAAATGCCTCAACGATGCAAGTTATAACTTTTCCTTTTTCTATGCATCCAGACTTTGTAATCTGTGCTACTATTTCTTCATCTGAAAGGACAATATATGAGGTGGTGTGAAAGCCTAAAAGGCAAACTCTTCCTTGGAATCACAGGCTTGTGAAGAAAATCCAGATTTTTCAGTACAGATCTGAAATTTGAGTTGGAAAACCATGCCTCGGAGAGTAAAAAATTCAGTGGGTACTATGCCATGAGTCAATATGCTGTGGACACTGGACAGTATAGATGATATCTTATCGGCAGCCGTTTTCTCCGGCCAGAAGCTTCTGTAAGGCAATAAAATGCAAGCAGCTATGGTTTATTTAGTTATAAACTTCCATATTGCATGCAATGGAATACTATTTTACTTTCCATACAATATAATTTTGTTAATAATTGGTACTCTTTGCTTCTTTTGATTTTCTCCACTTCTTCCTGCTTCCTTTTTTTTTTTTTTTTTTTGATACCCAGGTTTCCAGCTTCCAGCTTCGCCAGACTATATTCTGGACCCTTAGCCCCCGGCCCTTCAGTGACTGGTGGAGGTAAATCGCGGTAAATGCTCAAGTTGATCAGGGTTCGAACAACCTTTATACTACTGGCCCCAAGGGACCATCTTCCATGGTTATTACATCACCAAGCTGCTCCAACCAAGATGGTTATTACAAACACCCAGCTGCTCAAACCAGGAATCGAACACCCCACGCTGGGGTTGGGAGCCCCGCACTGCCCTTTCTTTGCCAACTTGGATGTGACCCGGGGCAACTTCTTCCTGCTTCTCTGTGTTGGGGGTGGGGGTAACTTTATTATCCGTCTTTCCCAAAATAGAAACAATACGAATTACAAATCTGAATATAGAAAGCGGTGGATATGAAAACCTCACTGGTTTCGAATAGTTGATATTATATATTGCTCCTTTTGATTTTCTTCATTTCTTCCAGCTTCTCTAAGTGGGGCTTGGGGCTGGGTGACTTTATTCTGTCTTTCCAAAAGTGGATACAATACAAATTACAAGTTGAATATAGAAAGCGGTCGATTTGGGAATCGCACTGGTTCTGGATCTTTCGTGACATCCCTTGTGTTGGATAAGTTTTTTTTGAAAATCATTTTCTACCAGCACATTTTACTGGATTCCTTACTTTTCTCTAGTTTTCAACTATATATATTCTCTTAAAACCAGTACACTACAGAATGAACGATTCATCTCGTCATGGATAATTCTGGAAGGGTACTCAAATAATTTAACCTCAAAAAAATCTGAAAAGCATTTATTTCAACAGTTAGTTATTTAGAGAATGCTTTACATCTCTTTCGGATATTGACAAAGTAGATGCTTGAAGTGACGATAAATAGTTGTAAATTTCTGGTCTGACTGTGTGATAAAAGGTGAATAGTAAAAGTATGTTTGACAGCTTAAATCGTAAGCTATGCTTTTGCCAAACATGCACAAAGTACGGTAACTAAATAAAATAATAAAATTGACTTCCAAATCCATAAAGCTTGTTGATATAGGAGAAACTCGTGTGTACAAACAGACACCTAGAATCTTTCCAGGACAAGCATGCAAGGTTCAAATCACACAAGGGCTTACACAGTACAGATTATTCACCAAGACTCCGTATTACTGATAAAGTTGCTTTGTTTCAGTTGGCATTGGGAATTATTAATTTCCATTCAAAGCAAATCGAGCAATTCATGATGCTGTTCACCCAACATTGGAGTATGTGAGAGGAACTCTGAGATCCACAATCATCCTGTTTCTGCTCTCATCCATCTCGTTTCCACCTACCTGTAAGTGCAATGAGAGATTTTTTTGAGCATTCATTTTTCTTTAGAAACTCATTTGTTGTTGTTGTTGTTGTTGTTTGCTCTAAGGTGGGATTTTTCAAGACTTAGTTTACCTTCTCCCTGAGAAGCCTGTTCTCTTCCGGCCTCAAGTTCTCCTGCTCAAAAAGCAATCATGTAAGCAGTTCTAGTTATATATATTCAGATTGAACCCTATCTGAAGAGACATCAATACTTTTTACTTCCATATACTTTTTTTTTTATGCTGTAAAAACATCGAATTGCATGAATATTGTTGCATCACGATTTTTTCTTATACAGTTGTATGTTCTGCTGAACAGTTATAGGATATTTGTGTAATCTAGGAGTTCTCTAATTTAGTTTATATATTAACCTCATAGAACTCTGAACTATCTTCGTTTCTCAAATAACCATTGAGCTTGAAGGCCTCGAGAGAAACAAGTGATAAATCATCGATGTTCATGAAGGCACAGATCACTTGAGTTGAAACTTGAAATGAAAACACCTAACTTGAACTAAAGCTGATTATATCGTCAATGTAGAAGAACAGTCACAAATTGAACTCAGTAGCCCTTCTGTCTTGCCATTTGATTTGACAAGTGGTAAAACAGTTCACGAAGTTGAACAAATGACTAGAATTAGATGTCATGCCTAATAATTATTTCATGTGGAACCTCTCAGTTGCCTAATCTCAGATTTGTACATCCACCTCCTCTACCCCCTTAGCAGTAATATCTGCTACATGCTTCTAAGCTAGTTTTTGGTTAATCCAGCTTGGAACCCAGAAATAGTTTTGAATCTTTCCCCCAAACTTGTCAATTTACTCAAGGACTATTTTCTCTCTGGTTGTAAACGCTGCCAAAGCTAGGTTCTAATTTTGAAAAAAAAAAAATCAATCAAAGTTCATCATTGACGGATGTCATGCTTCCAAACTTGTTATTTCACCGTTCAAAGATTGCTTTCTAAGATCCTTTTTTTCCAGGTGTCCCCAAAAATGAATCTGTGAAGTTTCTGATCAATGTCCCCTCCTGGCTATCATTTTGTTTCTACAACAAAAGCCTAATTCCACATACTCAACTAATTTACATTTTTCCGACACATGGCTTCAAGCTGTCTTTGCTTCGGATAAAAGTTCCCTCCTTTCTATCTCACACATACTGTTTTCTTTTTTAATGACAAGATGTTTAAAACCAGGTGATTCTATTTTTTCAATACATTGTTCACCCTTAATTGTACACCATCCACTCTGAGTATACCAACCTAATGTCTGCTACCATGTAATCTGAGCTCACCAGTCTAACCTTCACTACGACAATTGGAGGAGAAAAATAGAATCTCTTTGGATCATTAGCTTTTCTTAGATAAATAAAGATTGTCCTGAATTTATAAGTAGATTAAACTACTTTACCTAATAGGTTAACTTTTATGGATAAAACACCAAGTTCGTTATGTATCAAGATTTTTATGCATGCCATTCTTGAAGGAAGGTGGATGTTACTTTCAAGATTTCTAAGCGAATAATGCCTTTTTTGTAAAATAGCTTAGTAGTGTGTTAGATTATTCTAGGACTGGACATGGTTCGTTCTAACCGAACCGAGACCGAACTCGAATGAACCATCGGGTCCAAATTTAATTATGGAGCCGTCTGAGTTCCGTTTCGTTCGGTTCGGTTCGGCTCGATATAATAATTAAATTGTTTAATATTTAAAACAACGCTACATTAATTCAATTAATAATATGTTCAATCTTAGCTAGTACAAAAAAAAGTCCAATATTATATATCTTTTACGCCTTTTGTTGAGTTCTTCATAATTTGATTGTTAAATCACGGAAAGAGGAAGATTGGGAGCTCATAATAACGAAGAGAGACGTAGTTGAGCTTCCAATTTGATTTCTCCAAAGCTGTAGAAACGACATTACAGTAGAATAATAGATTTGGATAAAATATAGATAAATTTGATTAAGTTGGGCTTGAGCTGAAAATTAAAAATAGAAAAAAATCATATTTTGAGTTTGAGCTAAATTAAATAGATAGTAAATTTATTTAGAAAAAAATAATAAAAAATAATTTGGATTATCAAGATAAATAAATTTAAAAATTTAGGAGATTCGGCCCGTGTTTGGTTCTCATTTTTTCCTTATTAAAATGAAAAATATGACCGTTATCCATCACATCATGCTATCAAATTTGAAATTCTCTCTCTTGTGTAGGACCTGTAACGGCTATGTTTTTCATTCTCATTCTTCCAAAAAAGAGAAACAAATGGGGGCTCAATTCTTATTCAGTTCTTTAGTTATTGGTTTAGAACTGAGAATCGAACCAAACTTGTCCGTTCTCGATTAAGATATCTGTTCGAGTATTTAATTTAAGAAGAATCGCTCGGTGCGGTTCAGTTCGGGTCTAGTCTAATTTGGTTCGGGAGTTTTGCCGAGCCATAGATTTTTCTATACTGTAGAGCTCTTCTATTCAATCTCATATTGTTCTTGATTTCCCATATTATTTTTGACCTCTTGCAAAAACTTTCTTTGGCTTAAATTGAAGTCTTGTAACTTGACAACATAAGGTGATTGATCTTCTAAAGACATGAACTTCCTTAGTTATTGCATCAAAATTGTGTCATTCATTTGAATTCAAATCTCCCTTTTATTGTCAACTAGAAGTTTAGTGAGCTTTGCTTAGATTTTAAGCCCATAAAACTCACGCGAGCTTGTCTTTCTCCGTTCATTTGTCATGATTTTATTGATTTGACAACTACACATGCTTTCGTATACCAAGCTCGACATATAAATTCTCGAACTTTGGGTTGTTAAAGTTGTGACCTGAATAGTGAAGTGAACATTAACCTCTTCCAAAATTCTAAGAAATCTTTCTTCTTACTAGGCAAAAGGTTTTGTAAACAAGGCCTTCTATGCTTCTGTCACGTGAGTTGTCCTCAAGGTATAACACTGCCAATCCTCGTATTCATCCTCTCTAAAAATTGCAACTCGTCTAGCATGGAAAATTTCTCGACAATAAGAGTGGACAGTGATTACCACCTTTGGAGCCTTGAGTACTAGATGTCGAAGGACAAGCTTATGGACTGGTATACTCTTGATCACCCAGAACTTCATCATGATGTAATTATGTGAGGTCGCTCCCATGTTTAAAAATAGTAACATGATGATGACTTTGACCACCAATCTATCTTAGTTCTTGTTTGGTTTAAATTATAGTTTCATTATAATTTAAAGGTCAAAGTCTTTTTAATTTTAACCACACATCACTTATTAATCAGTAATTTGTATCGCTTTATAACTTCAATTATTTATTGTTTCTCTCAAATGAGCACTTAATTAATATTGCTTTGTGGAAACATAATGTTCCTTTGCTAATGCAATCCCTTCCGTTTTCTTTTAAAATTCCACAATTTTCTTTCCAGGATCACTAGCATTTATTCACAAACATATTGTGCCTTGAAAAAGTTGGGAAACTGCGCCATCCTTTCTCAACTTATTGCTGAGTTAAAAAAAAAAAGAAAAAAAAAAAAAAACAAAACAAAACAAAACAAAAAGAAGGAAGAAAGGTCACCCTTCAAGCTATTTGCTTTAATTGCAAAATTAAACATCAACAATGAAAGTGTCTATTTTTTCAATATTTTTTATTGTGTGCTAAATAAATGTCCATATTAGAATAATGCTATGTAGCACCAACAATGTTAAGCAAACTTCCATACTAATCTACTGCATAAAAAGATTGTCACATAAGCAAAAATAAACAGCGTCGACAATCTATCTTCAAGGAAATCTAATTGGAACTATATCTAGCTGACATGACAAGAGAAAAATAGATGTTATGAAGAGTTCTGTCTAGTTATATCGACTTTGTTTGATGGAATGAGTCAGCAAAATTTAATCTCTCTTGTTTTTTATTTTTTTCTTCCATATTTGTTAATTTTTCCTCTTCTAAGCCTTTGTTTGATGTAGCTAAAAATTAAATTTTTAGTAAAACTTCAATAAAAGTTGATAAAATATATGCTTAAAAAGTTGATAAAAGTTGTATTGATCTCTTGAAATGTGTGGTTAAATACTAATTGTTGAGTATGCCTTAAATTTTTATTAATTGTTTTAGCCATATCAACCATGAACTAAAGAAGAACTCCCTGAAGATAAATGTGAACTCGATCATCCATTTATCAGATACATAAATTAAAAGTAAATCATTTTTGTCATGCTACCGATAGAAGTGGTAGTAAAGTCCTTTTTCTTTGAATCCTGACTTGGTCATGAAACTATTTATAAGGTAATCTGCGTGACTATTTCTTCATCTGAAAGGATAATATAAAATTAAGTCCACAGAATATGAGTTGGTGTAAAAGCCTTGAGGCAAACTATTCCTGAGAATCAGGGGCTTGTTTCACTACAGCTGCTGCTTCCATCCTTTAAGAAAACCCAGAATTTTTAGTACAAATCTGAAATTTGAGTTGGAAAACCAGGCCTCTGACTCGAGTAAAAAATCCATTGAGTCCCATGCCATGTGTCAAATATGCTGTAGATGATATTTTATAGGCAGCCATTTTCTCCAGCAAGAAGCTTCTGTAAGGCAATAAATGGCAAGCAGTTATTGTTTATTTAGCTTTTAATTTCCATATTCCATATTGCCTGCCACACAATTCTCTTCTTCTTTCCATTCAATATAATTTTGTTAATAATTTGGTATTCTCTTTGCTTCTTTTGATTTTCTTCACTTCTTCCTACTTCTGTGGCTGTGGGGTAACTTTATTCTGTCTTTCCCAAAGTAGATACATTACAAGTTACAAATCTGAACATAGAAATCGGTGGATATGAAAATCTCACTGATTCTGGATCATTCGTGACATGGCTTGTGTGGGATAATTTTTTTTGAAAATCATTTTCTCCCCGCACATTTTCCTGGACTCTTAAATTTTCTCCACTTGACAACTATATATTCTCTAAGAACTAGTACGGAATGAATGATTCATATCGTCATGGATCATTTAGGAAACAGTGTTAACCTCAGAATACCTGCCATTTTTGTCACTCAAGTTTTTATTGTACAATATATGATACCAAACAAAGTTGTGTTAGTTAAAGGGTACTCAAATAGTTCGACCTTGAACGCTACTTTTTATTCTTTTGTAGAGAGTGATCTGCATCTCTTTCGGATATGGACAAAGTAGATGCTTGAAGTGCTTATAAATGATTATAAATTGTTGGTCTTATTTGTGATAAAAGGTGGATAGCACAAGTATGTTTGACAGGTTTAATCGTAAGCTATGCTTTTGCCAAACATGCACAAAGTAGGGTAACTATATAAAATAATAAAATTGACATCCAAATCCATGGAGTTTTTTTTTACCATAACACACAAGTGAAGCTTATTGATATAAGAGAAACTTGTGTGTACAGACAGACACAGACATTATGTCTTTCCAGGACTAGCATTCAAGGTTCAAATCACGCAAGGGTTTACACAGTACACATTACAAGAATCTAGACGAAACCATATTACTGATAAAGTTGCTTTGTTTCGATCAGCATTGGCAATTGTCAATTTCCATTCAAAGCAAATCAAGCAATACATGTTGCTGTTCACCCAACGTTGGAGTGTGTGGGAGAACACTGAGATCCATAATCATCCTGTTTGTGCTCTCATCCATCTTGTTTCCGCCTACCTGTAAGTGCAATGAGAAATTTTTTTAAGCATTTATTTTCCTTTAGAAACTCATTTGTTATTATTTCTTTTGCTCAAAGGTGGGATTTATCAACACTTGGTTTACCTTCTCCCTGAGAAGCCTGTTCTCTTCTGGCAGCAAGTTCTCCTGCTCAAAAAAGCAATCATGTAAGCAGTTCTAACTATATATATTCAGATTGAATCCCTTTCTGAAAGAGACACCAATACTTGTTACTTTCATATACTTGTTAACTTCATATACAATGATGACATTTTTTTTGTGCAATAAAAACATCGAATTGCATGAATATTGTTGCATCACGATTTTTTTGTATGCAGTTGAATGTTCTGTTGAACAGTTATAGGATATTTGTGTAGTCAAGGAGTTCTCTCATTAGAGTATAAAATTAGCCTCATAGAACTCTGAACTATCTTCCTTTCTCTAAATAACCATTGAGCTTGAGGCCCCGAGAGAAAAAAGTGATAAATCATCGATGTTCATGATGGCACAGATTACTTGAGTTGAAACTTGAAATACTCACACCTAACTTGAACAAAAGCTGATTATATTGTCAACGTAGAAGCAGATTCACAAATTGAACTCACTAGCCATTCTGTCTTGCATTTGATTCGATAAGTGGTAAATCAGTTCACGAAGTTGAACAAATGACTAGAATTAGATGTCATGCCTTATAATTATTTCATGTGAAACCACATCAATTGCCTAATCTCAGACTTGTACATCCACCTCCGCAACCCTCCTAGCAGTAATATCTACATCATGTTTCTAAGTTAGTTTTTGGTTAATCCAGCTAGGAACCAAGAATAGTATTGAATCTTTCCCTAAACTCGTCATTTTACCCACGGAATATTTTCTCCCTGTTTATAAAAGCTGCCAAAACTATGTTCTAATTTTGAAACAGAACATCAATCAGAGTTCATCATTTACAAGTTCGTTTTCTAAGATCCTTTTTTTCCAGGTTACCCCAAACATAATCTGTCAAGTTTCTGATCAATGTCTCCTCCTTGCTATCATTTTCCCTTTTAAAACAAAAGCCTAATTCCACATACGCAACTTATTTAATTTTTTCCCTACACATGGCTTCAAACTGTCTATGCTTGGGATAAAAGATCCCTCCTTTCTATCTCCCACACACTGTTTTCTTTTTTAATGACAAGACGTTTAAAACCAGGTGATTCTATTTTTCCAATACATTGTTCACCCTTAATTGGACAACATCTACGTGAGTATACCCACCTAATTTCTGCTACCATCTAATCTGAGTTCACCAGTCTAACCTTCGCTACCACAATTCTAGGAGAAAAATAGAATCTCTTAGGATCATTAGCTTTTCTTAGATAAATAGTTTCCAAAAAATTTGCTAGTATTTTACTCAATTCCACTCGACTTAATGAAATCCTGTCCCATACTTCACATATGAGTGAGTTTTGATTTTCAATTAATAAAACTTGTCCACTTCCATAAAACATTTATCCTGTACCTGAACTCTAGTTCGTGTCTGTTATATTGTTAAGGCAATGAAGGTTGCTATGGGTTCCCTCATGAACCTTAATATCTCCTTCCGTGGCGTCCAATTGGAATATCCTGTGAAATCAAATCATTGACAACCAAGCGAGGCCATATAATTTTAATCTGCCTTCCCTCTTCTAATACATTCTTCTGGGATTCAACACCTTTCTGAATGAGAGCTTTTCCAGCTAGGAAAAAGAAAAATGAAAGAAGATAAAGAGGAAACCGTACTTAGCCACATCCAGTTCCATTACCATCTTTCAAATAATTCCATCACAGAGTTACACTTCGAACCAATAGTTCCAGACTGTCAAAACAGTCGGGGAGATGCCCCTTATCAAAAAGTATTAACAAACCTTTGTCATATTGATTTAATATACAAGTAGGTTGACATGTTTTCTGATTGCTACCTAAGCTGTAACTCACAGTGATCCTAACCAACAGTAGCAGGGTATTAAATTAGTTATAACAAACAATTATAGAGGAGTAAATTAACCTTTGTTTCACGAACTTTTGCCGATGCACTTGGTTCTGCATCAACACGGCTGTGGTAAGGTTTTAGGATCTCAGATAACCTGATAATTAAGATTAGTTGAACACAGTACTCAAGACAAGAACATATTACCGTAATAGTAAATGAGGTACAATAATCACAATGCAATGACAGGAACTGGAAGTTCTTGAGGTATGCGAAGTAAAAAGAAAATATTTCCAACAAAAAAATATTGGACTGGAAATAAGTGCAGCTCTCTTAACGAAAGTTTGCAGAAAGATTCAAGATTATTTGCCTATAAATGTCTACAAAACAAGCAAATTTTCAAAAAATTTCAGACAAACTAGAACATATTTGAGCTTTGGGCACAACTTCTTATTGTTTGTATGGGCTTCAGGCGTCCATAATTCTATACAATAATTAGTGTTAAAAATTCCAGTATTAAATCCCTAAAGTTTAGGGATTAGTTTCTCTTTTTTCCTTCAGATTACGGTTTTCCTTATTTAGTTTCCTATTTCTGAATAAAGATAGTAGGAAGGTTGATTCCTAGTCTCTCTGTAGTTTATTTTTTGTTATATACCATTGATTTAAAGGATTTGTTTGTTGCTAGAATTAAGGATGATGAGCAACAAATATGATGCTACTCTCTCCTATATATTGTCCGTATTTTTCGATTATCGACCAAGTTTCTCTCTCTAAATTCTACATGGTATCAGAGAATTAACTAAAACCCTAATCCCTCTTGACTTTTGATTTTACTATCCTAAAACCAACAATCATCTTATGCCAAAATACAGCCATATTCCCAAGAAGCACAAGCATTTGAAATCGTGATTTCACACAATCATGGAGCAAGACAATTCTCATTTACTAATTATGAACTGAATGGGCTCACAATCCATCGTGATGTTCACTTGAGTCACACATCTTCCTTCTAAAGAAGATCAAAAGTTCTAAGGATGGAAGGTAGAAAACAACATTGTCATGTCACGATTGACAAATTTCACGACCGACATGAGATGTATTCAGCCAATGAAAGCACAGCGGAGCTATTTGAAATCGAAGTTCTCCAGAACTTGCGTCAACAAAAACTCCTAGTTATTCAATTTTTTAATCTACTCCATACCGGCAACAATTAGATATGTTATGCCCTTGCTCGACAAGAGTCTAGGAAGACCTTTGTGTGATCAGTGTCACAAATTGGGCCATAACACAAGTATATGCTAAAAGTTACACGAAAAGCCAACAAATTGAAAATCAAGAACAATACTTGAAGGTAAGGTTTCATGACCATCAATGAGGAGAAGAAACCATCCGACACTCACCTCTTTAGCAAAGGGCATATTAAGCTTAATCCAAAGATGTCCAGTCACTAAACATCTTCCTCTCCTATTTTTTGAGTTCAGCAACACCATTTGATTGAGGAGAGTAAGGTGTCTTTGTTTGATAAATAATTTCATGTTCGGAACAAAAATCTTCAAACGGTGCTCTGTATTCACCTCTTTTATCACTACGAATATTCTTTATTCATCTACTAATTTGAGTCTCAACTTCTGCCTTATAATGTTTGAAGGCATTCAATGCTTCATCTTTACTCTTTAGTAAAAAGACATAACAATATTTTGTACAATCATTAATGAAAGTAACGAAGTATTTGTTATCACCTTTAGCTTGAACATATGTCAAATCACAAATATCGCTATGGATTAATTCTAAAGGTGGTGTGTTTCTTTGAACCGAATGAAACGATGTTTTCGTCAATTTTGCTTCAATGCATGCTTCACATTTATGATTAGGATCAATCTTAAGTATCGAAATTAAAATTTAATTCATAAATTTGCGCAAAAAGTAATTTGCATGTCCTAATTGACTATGTCAAAAATAAGATAATTCAAGCTAAACAGAATTTGAATATTAATTTATAATGTTTGGCTCGGTACAATAGTAAGAATGTTCATTTTGAACATTCTATCATACATGTATCTTTTCCTATATCTCATTTTTAGTGAGTACAAATTTATCGGATACAAACATAAGCTTGAAGACATTTTGCTAATTGGAAATCTGAATACAAGATTCTTTCGGATGTCCGGCATGTTAAATAGGTGTCTCGAAATTTGGCAAGAATTAGGCAATCTTGGGTTTTGGAAAGAAATCTTGTTGGAGCCATATGGTTTTAGGAAATAATCAATAGGATTCAAGAAATATGGAAAGAATCAATTGGAATCCAACATTAGGAAGGAAACAATCTGAAACCGTGAAGAAAGGAAAGAAAATTGTCGGACACGTGACTCGTCTTTTTCTTTTACATGATTTTCTTTACGTGATTTTTTCCTAATTTTATATTTTTTTCCTAGTTTTAGGGTTTGATCCGTGTGCTATAAATACGTGGCTCCTCTTTCAGTTTAGTTTAAGCCAATTGCTGTAATTCTCTCCTTTCATAATGATTGAATAAAATAATATCGTTCCTCTACCAGTTCCATTTTATTTTGCATCTTTTACTTTATTCTTGTTTTTGGTTATTTTGTGATATTTATTTATACTTCATATTGAGTTCATCAAATCTCAATTCTTACGTTATCTTCATCGGTACTAACAAGTGGTATCAGAGCAAAGTTGCAAGTTCTTGGTTATTTGATTGAGGTTTTCAGAGATGGCTTCGATGAAATATGATATTTCGCTGCTGGATCGCAATACAAGGTTTTCGCTGTGGCAAGTAAAGATGAGAGATGTGTTGACGCAGATGAAACTTGATGATGCTTTGCTGGATTTTGAGAAGATGCCAGCAAATTGGCCTATGGAGGAGAATCAACGGAAGGATAGGAAGGCTACATCATTGATTCATCTTCATTTGTCCAACAATATACTGCAGGATATCTTGAAGGAGAAGACATCGGTTGCTTTGTGGTTCAAGCTGGAGCATTTGTGCATGACAAAGAGTCTGACGAGCAAACTGAGTCTAAAACAAAAGTTGTATTCCCATCGCATGGCGGAAGGAGGGTCACTGCAGGACCATCTTGCTATGTTCAAGAAAATAATTACTGTTCTGGAGGCGTTAGAGGTAAAATATGATGAAGAGTATCTAGCCTTGATACTGTCGTGTTCACTACCCAGTTCTTTTTCGTCGTTTCGTGATACTATTCTGTGTAGTCGTAACACGCTTACCATTGAAGAGGTATATGAAGCCGTGGTCTCAAAGGAGAGGATGGAGTTGTTGATTGGAGATCCTAAACCCAGGGGTGGGGATGCTTTTGTTATTCATGGTGATCGATGGAGGGGTAGATCGAATGTGAGGTACAGCAATGTGTATTGTTATTACTGCAAGAATAAATGACATATCAAGGAAGATTGTGACAAGTTGCAGGGTAAAGGTAATTTACATGCAAATCATTCGGAGCAATCTTGTAATTCGGACGAAACCAATGTAGTTGAAAATTTTTCTAATGATGGAGATGTGATGTTGGCTATATTTGATGGGGAATCCAAATCTGAGGAGTGGATTCTGGATTTTGCATGTTCGTGTCATATGTGTCCCAATAGAGCGTTTTTCCAGACACGAGGCAGTGAAGCAAGGTGGAGTTGTCATGGGAAACAACCAATCTTGCCGGCTTGCAGGAATCGGTCGAGTCAAATTGAGGCTACAAGATGGGACAGTGAGAACACTTGATCAGGTTCGCCATGTTTCAGACTTGACAAAGAATCTCATATCGTTGAGTACCTTGGATGTAAAAGAGTATAAATTTTCTGGTGTAGGTGGAGTTTTGAAGGTTCGAAAGGGCGTCCGAGTTGTACTGGAGGACGGATGAGATCCCAGTTGTACATTTTGCAGGGAAGCGTAGAACCAATTCAGAGACATTTGGATAGGTTTAGTACGGTAGTGGAAATTCAGTTTGGTACATTAACTCTTGTGTTAGGCTATGGGTCAGTTTCGAACTTTGCTCGTGGGAGTGTTGGTGATTCTGCTTTGCCACCAATTTCAATAGATGCACTTTGTTTTTGTGCTAGTGAACTCATGGAGCGTAGGTTTAGTGGTGTCAATAATGTCTTAGGGATCGTTGAAGGCGACAATTCTAGCAAGGGGCCTTTTGATCGTGCATTTGGTGTGGTTTCTGCTACATGGTGTGCTTCGACCCTGTCTAGTGGTTATTAATTCTAGGTGGAATTTTGGGAACTCGGGTTCGGGTTCGGGTGTCGCTTGTGGACGTCGAGCGGGGGAACATGTTTTCGTGAAGAGTTTGGTTACTGGGTTGAGGAGCTTGATTATTCTGATGCAGACGGATCATTTTTTAAGGTGGAGAAATTTGGAGCATCGTTCGTTGCACAGGAATTTCGAGTCAAGGTGGAGATTGTTAAATAAATGTCTCGAAATTTGGCAAGAATTTGGCAATCTTGGGTTTTGGACAGAAATCTTGTTGGAGCCATATGGTTTTAGGAAATAATCAATAGGATTCAAAAAATATGGAAAGAATCAATTGGAATCTAAGATTAGGAAGGAAACAATTTGAAACCGTGAAGAAAGGAAAGAAAATTGTTGGACACGTGACATGTCTTTTTCTTTTACGTGATTTTTTCCTAGTTTTAGCGTTTGACTCGTGTGCTATAAATATGTGGCTTCTCTTTCAGTTTAGTTTAAGCCAATTACAGATCTCCTTTCATAGTGATTGAATAAAATAACATTGTTTCTCTGCCAGTTCCCTTTTATTTTGCATCTTTTACTTTAATCTTATTTTTGGTTATTTTGTGATATTTATTTATACTTCATATTGGGTTCATCAAATCTCAATTCTTGCGTTGTCTTCATCGGTACCAACACAGCACATGTAGGACATTGTTAAGGACGAATTCTTTACTGGAAGTCATTTTCAAAGTATTTTCCTTTGTCTTTCAACTTTGGAACTTGTAGAGTTGTTTTCCATTCAATTCTTTGTAGTTAGAGAACATAACATTGTCTGCACACACATGATAGGTAGCACCAGTATCATCCCATCACTCCTTTGAATTTCCAATGTTGTTACAATCAGAAACAACTGCAGATAGATTCATTTTTAATATCCCTTCAGATAGGGTGTTTCTTTCAATCATGTTTACTTGTGCGTTCTTCGACTTTCACTCGAACGATTTTGGCTTTTGGACAATTGTAACAATTCCTTTATAAACTTCTTGGCTTTCTTAGAGTTGTCTGTTCTTGGTACATCACTGGAGATCTTGCTTTTTTGTTGACAGGCTTCAAATTGGTTTTAACAAAATTTGCTTCAAGTTGGACAATAGACCTGCTCTTGGTTGTCCTATTGTCTTCTTTGATCCTCAAGCGGACTATCAATTTCTCGAAGTTCATCTCTTTGCATTTGTACTTGAAATAGTTTTTGAAATCACTCCACATGGAAGGGAGTTTTCAATGATGGCAACAACTTGGAAAGATTCCCTGAACTCTATTTTTTCTGCGTGTATGTCATGAAGTAGAACTTGAAGTTCTTGTACTTGACTTATCATGACTTTGGAGTCTACCATCTTGTAATCTAGAAACTTGCTGACTTTGAATTCGTTTCGGCATCCTCATTTTGTAATTCTTTTCCAGCGAATCCCATAGATCCTTAGCCGAATCCTTCAAACTATACACTCCATACAGTATATTGTCCAATCCATTTAGTATATAATTCTTGCATAGGAAGTCCAATTGCTTCTGTGTATCCAAAGTAATAATTGATTCATGATTATTTTCTCCTCCTTGTATCGTTAGTGCAATTTCTTTTAAGAATTTCGCCAAGTTTAGAGTGGTAAGGTAGAACATCTTTTATTGTCATCTCTTAAAGTTCACACCAAATTATTTAGATTTTTCCCCATGTGGGATCATAGTATTTTGAAGTGGTATAGTCGAAGGCGAAACCACACTATTCGTAACATTGGTTGTTTGACTCGAAGTCTTCTCCATGGTATTTATTTTTGTTACATAAAAAGAAGTTCAACCCTAGATATAGAAGAGAGGAACGACACACAAATGCCTATTTCAATAGATGAACGAATGGTATTGATTTTCAACAAGCAACCACAGACACAATATTGTCTTTAGATTGTTGTTAAGAATATGGCAGAGAAAGGATTGTTTGTAATGAATCGATGAAATGGAAATGTTTAATCCATATGAGCGTAATGAATCAATGAAATGGAAATGTTTAATCCATATGAGCGTAATTAAACATAACAAATTTTGGAGGGGGTGTAAACCAGCAAGAAAACAAGGAAAGGAGAAAAAAGAGATCCAAGGCAAGTGATAATTACTCTTTCCTTAAGACAATATTGTCTCGCAATGATGCTAACAGTGTATGACACTTGTCTCATAAAATACAAGTGATTCAACTTGTGGTAGAAGCATTTCAAACCACAAGTTTCATTGAACTCAGAACGGAGTCCTTTATCTACAAGAAGAAATGGGTTTGGAATGATTTTGAAAAGTTTTTGCAAGAGATTTGATGCAATGCTCAATGCGAAAGTGATATGGGATACATTATGAACGTCCAAAGTGTCATATTTATAGAGGATGAAGGGTTGTGGATGAAGTGATGCGCAACAAAACCTTGTAACTTTACGATGGGAAGCATCACTTGCTGTCGTTAACCTATCAATAGTCTTTCACTTGAGCGCCAGTGTCAAAATTTAAGAAGAAACATTTCTCCCGTCTGTCGCTCGAGCGATAGGCGATGATGGAGTTGGACAAAATTCATGCCAGTTTCCCTCTATTTTTTTTCTAACTTTGGATCGCAATTTCTCATTCATTTGGAATTGATTTTGCGATTTCAAATGTACAACGATGATCTAATCGATGAGTAAAAGAAGTTAGTCTATGCACACTTGTAATTTGACTGTCGAATTAAGTTCGAATATTTGATCGAAGTTGACACGAAAGTCACTTTTCCATATTTATACTTAACCAAATTTTCTCAGTTGTAAACCAATTTCCAACAAGATGTACATATGCATGATAAGCAAAGGAAAGGAGCACCCAGCTACTAGCTAAATAAGAAAGGAGCATGCATGCACCACCGCTGCAACGACTAAGCTAGAAACGAAAGGTACCCTCATCATATTCATGGTAAGCAACAACCAAGAAGAAAAAGTAATGAATATTCAATGCTGCAGGAAAACTTTTTTTTTAGCCCCTTGTTCGGCGGGGATTAACGTAAGATATTTAGTAGATTTTGATTAAAGTTGATGAAATGCGTGGTTGAAAAGTTGTAGGTCCCGTAAAATGTGACTAAAATTAGTTGTTGATTTTGGTTTAAATTAACAAATGAATTTTAGTCTACCAAATGGAGGCCTAATATTTTTTCATTTACTGACATTTAAGGACTATTCATACCATTTTTCATAACGACCATTAGCATGCATAGATACTTTGTCCAATTATAAGCAAACACCTATTAGCATGCAAAGATTACTTGCTTACAATTAGAAAATTTTAAAACATTTTAAATGATTGTATACCTGTACTACAATCTTTACTCCATGCTAGTTTCTTACAGATTTTTAGGGGCAAAAAGCTTCGTGTGTAAGCAAATCATAAACATGTACTTCAAGGAATGAACACTTGTTCTCTTTTTCGAAACTGATCTATTGAGATCACATTGCCAATGCGATGTAAGACTTCTAGCTCGTTTAGAGTTATTTAGAGGGTGTTTGATATCCATTTTTATGAAAAAATGAATTTTAGAATGGTAGATTGATGGAGAATATGTGGATGAAAAGTTTTTAATTTAAGTATAATATTATTTTAATGAAGAATGTATGGTAAAAAAAAAAAAAAAAAAAAGAGATGCATTTAAAAAAAATGAGAATCAAATGGACCTTAATCTCGCTTCTTGTACTATAGCAACATGACCTACTAGCTATGTAGGGCATTAATGGTGCCCCCAGGGCACATCTCCAAGTGGTAAAAGAGGAGGGTGGAGAAATCCAACTTTGCTTGAGGCTGCTGCGTCAAAAGTTCGAATCCTAAAATATGGATTTGGCTCTTGGGTAAGTGCAAGTGTACAAGCAGCCTTCCACCCTGTACCCTTGGAGGTATAACCTACGATTTACCTCCTTCACGACACTCCAGGACAGGGGTGGTGGGGGACCCTTAAGGTTAGGGTTTAACTTTTTTTTTTTTTTTACGTAGGGCATTAATGGCCCCCATGGCACATCTCCAAGTGGTAAAAGGGGAGGGTGCAGAAATGAAGCTTTGTTTGAAGCTGCTGTGTCAAGGGTTCGAATCCGGAAATATGGATTTGGCTCTTGGGTAAGTGCAAGTGTACAAGCAACCTTCCACCCTGTACCCTTGAAGGCATAACCTGCGATTTACTTCCCTCACGATACTCCAGAGCAGGAGCGGTGGGAGACCCTTAAGGTTGGGATTCAACCTTTTTTATGTAGGGCCTTAATGGCCAAATAAAAACAAAATAAGAAAAAAAGTGAGTATAATAATGTTTAGAGTTCCAATATTAGTCTTACTTTTGTCGGAGGGTAAAGAAATCCCTAAACGTTCATTTCAACATAGAAATTGGAGTGCTACAAGTTGTTTCAAGGGGCATATTCATATAGTATTTTTTGAATCATTTTATTCTCTCTTGAAGTAATGCTTCGAAAATGCACGAGGCTTGAAGCTTTCCAAAATTTTGGAAATATTTAGCACTTTGCTCTAGTTTCAAATGGATGTTTTCTTATCAGAGTGAGATAACTGAGAGAGAATCTTTTGTTTGTGTTTTCTCATCAAAGGGTTTAGCCAAGTTTCTAGAGAGATTGGTCAAAAACTTGGGATCCGTTTGATTTTGTGTTTATTTCTAGCTTTCTGTTTTGAGTGTTTGTCTTAAGATTTCTAAAAATGACTTTGGTTTGTCATTTTGAAAAACTATTTATCAAAACAAAGAACTAGAAAAATACATTTGATCTGAAATTTTGAAAATTTATATATGAAATTTTATTGATTATTAAGAAAAAACAGATCAACTTTATGTTATATAATTATCATGCAATATTACATTGTAAATTGATGAAACTTACAATATATTTTCTCGCCACAAAAGTAAATAGAAATAAATAATAAATCGAGTTTAAAATATATGATATAAAAATAAAAAATTAATGATGTGGGTTGGGAAATTTTTATCTGTATTCAATTATGGAAATTTTTTGTAGATAA